TTGTACTTTTTGAAAGTTTTAGGACTTGTTTGCACTTTTGTAACAAGTTTTAGGACTTGTTTACACTTTCGTGATAAGTTTTAAGACTTATTTGCACTTTTTGAAAGTTTTAGGACTCAAGTGCACTTTTGTGACAAGTTTTAGGACTTGTTTGCACTTTTTGAAAGTTTTAGGACTCAATTGCACTTTTGTGACAAGTTTTAGGACTTCTAGTGCACATATCCCTATTTATCTCTCTTCTTCTTTTGGATACGCCATTTTTTTTTGCGTAGTTACCATTTCGTTATCGCTGATTCAAAGAAATTCGTCCAATAAAGCTTCTAATCGGTAAGTTACATATGGGATTAATACCACGAAAAAATACATATGTGATAAATTTATTTTAAATTAATTTTTGATTTACCAAAAATCCCAAATAAGTACACTCGTGACATACCCTTTATTAGCTTCCGTCAAATTTTACCGTGAAATTACTAAGTTAGATGATGGTAAGTCCACATGAAAATTCATATCAATTTATAGGAAATTTATTACTGGTGTACCGGTTTAGGATTTTTGGCATCCCAAAAATTAATTATGAGAAAATTTGCCACAGATGTACCAGTTTGGAATTTTTCGTGGTATTAACCCTTATTTACACTAAGCTTAAATTAAGTTTTTCGTACATGTAATAAACATGCTTGTACTTAGACCTAGCCACTAGGCGGGGTTAGGGAAGATGGGCGAGGCTTGGGCCCCACCGAGCATAGGTGGTAAAGTGCTTCACCCCGCCAAGACTCAAACCCCCGGCCTGATTCTAGGATGAAGTAGAGAGATTTTCTAGCCTAGACCCATCCAGATGAGATTTTGTTTGCGGTAACTCTATTATTTTAAAGGGTTAATACCACAAAAAAAAACCCAAACTGATACACTTGTAACAAATTTACTCTTGATACACCTGTGATAAATTTACCCTCCGTTACTTTCCGTTAAATTTTACCGTCAAATTGTTGATGGTAGTTGATGGGAGTACCAGTCTGGGGTTTACCACAGGTTTATCTATAGTTTTTCATGATATTAATTCAATTTAATAAATGGTAAATTTATCATAAGTGTACCAATTTAGAATTTTTAGTGATCGAAAAATTAATTTGGGGTAAATTTATCACATGTGTACCAATTTAGGATTTTTGGTAGTAAAAAAATTAGTTTGGAGTAAATTTATCATAGATGTACTAATTTGAGATTTTTTGTAGTATTAATCTTATTTTAAACGTGATTATCACAACTTGTTGGGCACGCTCTTTGCTTGAATCTCTTGTAAGAGCCCATAAAAAGCAACCTTTTACTGGGCCCGTTGGTATTACCATAATTGCAATGGCTCAAATAGCGAATGTCACATTTCGATAACCACAAAAGTTGTTATCTCTGAAAGCAAATTATTAACTTAATTACCTCATATATCCAATATAAAGAATTATTATTATAATATTTACCTCTCCAATTTTCTTTTTTCCAAAAAGCTCCTGAAACTACTTTCCTAAACTTTGAAATTTCAAGAAATTTGAGAAATTTGGGAGGTGAGACAAAATTAAGGATGTTGTAGTAATTTATTAAGATAAATTATTATATCTATCTATACTGCCATAAAATGAGAGATTATACAAAATTGACCATTTGGACTTCGTTGAGTTATACTTCCTTCTTATCTTCCACATTTTGTTTTGTGCACTTATTCTTTTACACTTTTTTTTTCCTTCTTATCTTCCACATCTTGTTTTGTGCACTTATTATTTTATACTTTTAGGCTATGATGTGCGCATGTTGTATAAATTGTTATCGCTAGTGAAAATATTTTTTATTAACTAATTATTTCAAGTGATACAAGCAATCATAATTAGGAATATATTTTCCACAATATTCATTTTTCGCAAAACACACGGAGCCTTGAGGGAAAATACCCCATTGTCTACCTTTTGTGTTTTTTATTATAGCCCTTTGTTTTCTTAACTGTAAATCAAAGAGGAAAAAAGGGAAAATCGACCAATAAAAAAGACAAAAATGTAAAAAGAAAAAATAAATTAACCACCCACTTTCTATAAAAAAAAAAGTGCACTTGGTAACATTACTTAATTGTCCTTATTATGCAATCAACCCCATCCATTCACTCTTTGTGATAAATTTTTTTCTTATATTTTTAAAAAAATGTGTAGAAAAAAATGTCTAAGTTTTTTTTATTTCCTTGTGCAATTAAGTTCTGACATTTATTATTAGCTTATAAGCTGCACAAGGAATGAAAATTAATTGTGCAGCACCTATCGCGTGCTTGAAACTAGTTTTTTTTTTTTTTGGTAAGGTAAGAATATGTATAACTTTCCAAATCACCAAGTACAACCTAAGCCCAAACCAGCTCATGACCATATTAGGACATAGTAATGTCCATACAAGGTCAAGAGGGTCCAAGCAGAACTATATAACAAGCCGAAGGACGGCTAAGAACATGGAAAAAGAAATAAGAAGACAAAGACAACCAATCCATAGCAGATTGGATGGGCGACGCCAAAACTCCGGCAATCTGCTTGAAGAGGGCCCCGGATCGCCGGGAGCAAGACTACCTAAGCAAAGACAAAAGGCGCCGGAAACCAAAACCACCACAATAAGCCGGGCCAAACCGAACCATGGAGGTGAAGCCAACAACTCCGGAATCCGCTCCAAAAGGCACTAGATCAGCCATAATCGTCATTAATCAAAGATAGAAGGAGGAAGGTCCCACTTTCTCTGGACAATGCGGTTCCTATAAGTATCCTCAACTGTCCCCATGGAAATAGCTTTGTCCTTCACGACTTTGAAGAGATGCTTACGCATACCATGGATGAAAACGCTTTTGTTCCTGAAGATAGCGTTGTCCCTTTCGGTCCAAAATAATGTGACATAGAGCACTAAAGGAAAATCTAGAAATGCGGTGGGCAAACGAAGATCCTCCGCAAACTTTCATAGCCCAGAGGATATGTTCTTGCCAGGGACGATTGCGCCAAGGTAGCCTGCAATTTGTCGCCCAAAGAGAAGCCAATCTACTGGTAGAAGTGCATTCAAAGAAGAGATGGTTGATTGAGTCTAGTGTAGATCCACAAAAGGCACAGAGAGCATCGGCAATCCTGCGATTTTGTAACAAGAATACCTGGGTAGGTAGCCGGTTAAGGGATATTAACCAAAGGAGAAAAGCATGACGAGGAGCTATGTGCCGATCCCAAATGAAGGAATGCCAGGGGGTTAGATGCCATTTCCTTCGGATATGATTCCAAGCAAGAGTAACAGAAAAGGAATTAGAAGGATGAGGTGTCCAACCGAAGCTGTCCAACGAGCTATCCACAATAGACGGAAGGGGATCCATCCAACCCATAATAGTGGCAAGGGTGTTAGAAGGTTGCCAAGAACCTTCGTAGAAAGATCGCACTGTAGCATCCCGAGGAATGCGCGATTGATAGATCTCCGCATTACTAAAAAGCAAGTATAGCGGGCCCCTGCTGTGCCACCAGTCAAACCAGAAGGATACAGAGCGCCCATTTCCAATCTTCCATCGGAACATAGCTTGAGCAGATAACCGCATATCAAGGATTTTCTTCCATGTCCAAGAACAGAAGGTAGGTTTGGGCACAAGCCAAAAATTTGCCTTCTTTAAAAAGGTGGAGTGTATCCACTTACACCACAAGGATTCTTTGTCGGTAAGGAGAAGCCAAATGTGCTTTAAAGTCATAGCATTGTTGTATACAACAAGTCTCCGGATGCCTAGGCCGCCTTCTTCTTTGGGTAAGCAAACAGCCTTCCACGCTACTTTAGCTCCACCAACTCCAAGGTCAGGACCTTTCCATAGGAATTGCCGCAGAACAACCTCAATACTATGCAATACTGATTTGGGTAAAGAAAAGATGGTGGCCCAGTATACTTGAATGGAATGCAAGACCGACTTTATAAGCTGTAGGCGACCAACAAAGGAAAGAAAGCGTTGGGACCAAGAACGGGCACGAGCCGTGATAGAATCAATCAAGGCTTTACAGTCCACCTTACGCAGTCTAGTTGAGATAATAGGCACACCAAGATAACGAAATGGAAGTTAATGTGTAGTGAAGTAGAATATTTTTAATTAATTGTACATCATTTACTCCCAAAACCCAAAAAACCCAATGATTTGAGATATTTAAAGAAATTATCAAAATTATTTCCTTAACTTTTTATTATTATAAACAAAACATTATTTTGTCCTTAACGATTGGCAACTAACTTGACTGCTTTTCACCCGAGGTTGACCGGTGTTTCGTGATTGCCTCTTCAAATGTCAAACGACTCGTGGTGGTACAACGAACCTGTGAGATGCTTTTACATAGAACTCCAATGATTACTGCTCCATGTATGGCCCAAAGAAATCTATGAGTGCTTTGAGTTTTGAGGTATCTTTTTAGATTCCTAACTTTCGTAATCGGGCGAGACTTTGATCGATCAATGTTGGAAAAAATTGCTCTTTGTCCAAAAAGCCCGTGCCGGCCCGACCCGGTCCTAAAATTTAGGTTATTTTAGGGTTGGAGCTTGTCTTCTTTGGATAGGGCTTTTAGGTGTGGGTATTACTATGTTAGGGTAGGGTTGAGCCCGACCCATTGACACCGCGAGACCACCCACGGGCCACAGTCCACACATCTCCCTCTCACATCTCCCTCTCTCTCGTCTCTCTCGTTCTCTCTCCTCTCTCTCACTTTTTGCGCAGCCACAGAGCACGAACTACCATGCAGCTTAGCGTCAGTCCATCACTGAGGATGAGCAAAGCAAAAATTCGATATTTGCTCATCCTGGAGCTGTCAATCTCCCCAATTGAACCTCTCTCCATGGAATCGATCCTCTTCTGTGATCTGGGTTCCGCGAATTAAGGTTTTTTTTGGCCGTTTGCAGTAGAAAATCGACTTGGATTCGATGGTGCTCGAGCCAAAGTTTTGATTTTTAGGGTTGTCAGGGTTTGGTTTTCTTGCTCCCAGGATCTGCAGCAAAAGGAGGAGGAGGAGGAAGGGGGGGCGGTGGATTCCAGGGTTGGGTTCAATCGGTCGTCAGGTTCCGAGGGATCATCACATGTCTTCGGCGACGTCGTCTTATTGGTGCTATAGGTGTAGCCGTTTCATCAGGGTTTGGAGCCAAGACTCGATCACTTGCCCCAATTACAACAGCAGGTTTGTCGAGGAGATTGAGAACGCGTCGCCGCCGTCGCTGATCGCCACAGATGCCCGCCGCAGGAGGTTCACCACCGCCGCGATGTACACGATCAGGTCGCAGTCGGGTCAAGACCAAAGCCCCGACCCGGTCCCCCTTCAATTCGGTCATCGTGCTGCGCCAGCCGTCCGACGGCAGCAATGATGGCGGAAAGTTTAAGAGAGTTCGAGCGAGGGGATGACCGGAAAAAACTGGAAAGTTCAAGAGAGTTCAAGAGGTTCACAGCAATTTCCAATCTATCTGCTGAAAAAAAAAAAAAAAAAAAAAAAACCAGACTCGGCCCGGCCTGACCTAGCCCTTGGGGTATATGCTGAACGGGGTCTTGGGCAAGGCCTGGGCGGGTCAAGCGCGACCCTGTTGGTTTTGAGTCAAGTAGGGTATCACGAAAGCCCGACCCGACCCATTGACACCCATAAGCACAGGTATAAAAGAAATTTGTGAAAGCATAGTTTGAGTCTTGGTCAAAAGTCTTCCTTTAGTTAGAAGTAGGGGTGTGCAAAAGAATCGGGAACCGCCCGGAATCAGACCGGACGGGCTCAGAACCGGTGGTTCCTAAGGGAACCGTTCCAGTTCCGAGTTCCAAATTATTGGAACAAGTGGGTACCGGTCCGGTTCTCGGTTCTAGGTGTGGAACCGCCCGCCTGCCCACCCGGACCAGACCGGTAATATAATATTATATATTATATATTATATTTAATTTTTAATTTAAAAAAAAAAGAAAGAAAAATCCTAAATCCCTAAATGTGAAACTCGCTCAATACTCTCACTCTTATCAGTCATGCCCAGACCTAGTAAGCAAAAGCCCATGCTTTCTTGATAGTAATTGGCGAAGGTGGGATAATAACATATAGGAAAGTTTTGACAGGATGATAAGGGAGTTGTCCATCTCTCTCTTTTCTCGTTTAACTTTATTTACCCACAGGTCTTTCAAATCTTCATGTTCACTTTAATATCTGCATAAACAAGGCCACATGTGAATACTGTTCAATACCACAGAAATGATGCCGCACCGCATCAATCACCCCAAATGGATAAAAATCATAGTAGTATGAATATATTGACGATGTGTAATTTTAATTATTCTAGAATCATTTCTTCCTGTTGCGTAATTCTTTGTTGCATATTACAATGCCAACATGTGAAGCTTGGTAGGACCGGTTCCATGGACCCACCCGAGAATCGGATTGGACCGGCGGTTCGGGAATCGGACCGGACCGGTGGTCCAGTTCTCGAGTAGATCCATGGAACCAACGGGCAGTTTCCGGTTCTAATTTTTAGGAACCAGTCCTTAGTGAGCGGTTCCCGGTTCTAGGGTGGGAACCGCCCACCCAAATCATGCACACCCCTAGCTAGAAGCAGATCACTTTGATCTGATAAGCTCCGGTAGATTACCACACCTTGTGGGACCTTCGGTTTTTCTGAAGTGGTTGAACTATTTCCGCGGACTTTTCTCTAGTAATAAAATTCGGTGTTTCTAAATAAAATAGCGAATGTCACATTCCACAACCATAAAACTTGTTTTTTTATCAAATTGAAAGCAAATTATTAACTTAATTACCTCATATATCCTATTTAAAGCATTATTATTATAAGAAAAATACTTTCCTAATCATTGAAATTTCAAGAAATTTGAGAAATTTGGGAGGGGGACAAAATTAAGGATGTTGTAGGAATTTATTAAGGTAAAACAGTATATCTATCTATACTGATATAAAATGAGAGATTATACAAAATTGACCATTTTGACTTCCCTAAGTTCTACTTCTGTCTTATCTTCCACATTTTGTTTTGTGCACATATTCATTTACACTTTTTTTTTCCTCTTATCTTCCACATCTTGTAATATCTATCATGCTTACTACAACTAAATACTATCGTCCCTTCTTCTTTGAGTACATAACATCTGTTAGATATATAATCTAACTCATTCTCCCAACATGATGTACTTCCAGTGTGGTAATCGCCGATATCACGTCCTTGGAATTTTCAGGTGAATCAAATTTAAGGACAGTTTTCGTAAAAAGCGAGCTCCATCCTTTGGCATCCTATTCGCTTGGTGTCATCACGGGGGTGGGGAACATCGAGTCTTGCGCCACCGTTGGTCGTCCGTCTTATAGCAATGGAATGTTGTCATTGGCATCGCCGACTTCTATTTGATAGAGAAATACTCGAAATCGAGACGAGTAGGCGAAGTAGTCCTTGTGGCTGTAAAATGCCATGGAGGCGTTTCTGTGGAACGCAGATCGAGTACGTACAACAAAAAACCTTTAATGATGAGACTACTGCGCCAAGGACTGCAGAGACGACATGATCTTCATCGAACAGGCACAAAAGAGGATACGTTCCTCCACGAGCGCTTGTGCGCATACGTGGGAGGAGAGAGGAGCGAGACGCCGAACGGCGAACGGCGAACGGTGTGAAGGGGCGACGCTAGTGCCTAGAGGAGTATGCGGAGTCTCGGGGTGAAGGACGGACAAGGAGAGAAACCTTGAAGGTTCGTCCAGGTGGAGCAATGGGAAGATGGTAGAAGATGGTAACGCAGACACCCGCGTAACAAAAGACGTGGAGGCAATGGACGCAAGTGAGAAGTTTACAGTTTATGTGTTAGTGTTAGCATGAATCATCTCCCTTTAGCCCCTTTTTATGGCCTAATATTCTAAGAAAATCTCAATTTAGGTCGAGTCCTAATTCTACTCTAAATTTTTTTCGTCCGATAAAAAGACCCCAACTTTAAATACGGTCCCTATTTTAACCTAAACTTTTTTGTCCCGTGAAAAACCTCAAACTTTAGGTTATGTCTCAATTCTACTATCCAGTTTCAATTTTACCTAAAATTTGTTTAGTCTCGTAAAAAACTACTAATTTTTACTTGAGTTACAAATCTGTACCCGTTAACCCTCCATCTAAAATTTCTCGTTGACAATCGAGAGATGGAAAACTCCCAAACACGAACTGTTCGACCGTCTCGAGCCAAGTGTCCAGAGCGCAAATTCTCCAACATGGAAATGTCGTAGTAGCTATATAATCTAATAGGTTGTAGTAGCAAAGTAACCTAAGATGGCCTCTTATTCTTGGATTTTGTTCGTGAGTTCAGAGAATCAATGTATTCATTTCTATTGTATTAAACTACTCTACTATTCTATATTTTATATTTTATTACTTCGTGCTTTTTATTCTTTCGCAAGAAGAAAGGATTGACCTATTTCATCATGACTTGATTTGATTGAGATTTTTATAAGATTATCGTTTTTCCTACCTATATCGAATAGAACATGCTCGAAAGGCTCAATAAAGAAGCATACCTTTTTGGTAAATGAGCAACTTGGGCTTATCGGTTGCGAAATCAATGTGTTGTGTTATTATCAGCTCTCAGAGATCTTTTTTCCTTTTGGAAGATAGAGGAGCGCGACTCTTTCTAAAAGATATAAACAAGTGTCTTAAGACGCCTAACCCTTAAGTGTTTTTGTAGGTTTTACCCCAATCCAAATAATCTATGAAGGTTTAACATCTCTAGGTCAATGGATTGAGATGTATTGATCCATGGATCTATGTGTCTATACAAATCCTCTACTCATGGATTAACGAGAATGTGCCATAGACACTAGGATTAGAAGCAAGGGTTCATGGTTACTTGACTGAACCACCTTGAATCCTCCTTCTTTGCCATATGCTTCGACCCACATTTGGGCTATTTGGTAGGAGATGGAACACTCCCAAGCATGAGATATCGAAAACCGAGCACAAATGCCAAGATCCTCGAGCGAGATGGATGGAAAACTTCTTAAGAGTAAGAGCAATTGAAGAAAGCCAACCCTAATTGCTCTAGTTTTTACCAAATTTCAAAGGCCCAATTCCCTAAAAAACCCCCAACTTTAGTCTTTGTCTCAATTATATCCCAAACTTTTTTTTGTCTCATAAAAAACCCCAAACTTTTACTTTTGTCCCAAATCTACCCCGTTTACTATTCGTCTAATTTTTTAATATTATTTTTTTATTTTTTCGAATTTTTTTCTTTTCTTTTCTTTTTCCTTTCCTTTTCTGTTTTTTTTTTATCACCTTCAACCTTCGGCCGTCGCCGGTCCGGCGACGCCAGAGGCGGGGCCGACGAGGTCGGCCCCGCTGGCCGCCGGGCGAGGCTCGGCCCCGCTCGGCACCGGCGAGGTCGGCCTCGCCGTTCTTCGGGCGAGGCCGAGCCTCGCTGGCCGGCCGGCGAGGTCGGCCCCGCCACCGCAACGGCGAGCCGACCTCGCCACCGCCGGCGGGGCCTAGCCTCGCCGGGACGGCGAGGCCGAGCCTCGCCCGACAACGGCGAGGTTCGGCCTCGGCCGACCTCGCCAGTTCTGGGCGAGGCCGACCTCGCCAATGCCGGCGGGGGCCAAGCCTCGCCATGCCGCGAGGTCGGCCGAGGCCGAACCTCCGCAACGACGAGGCCGACCTCGCCACCGCCGGCGGGCCTGGCCTCGCCGGATCCGGGCGAGGCTAGGCCCCCGCCAGCTGGGCGAGGTCGGCCTCGCCATGCGGCAGGCGGGGGCCGACCTCGCCGGCCGGGCGAGGCTCGGCCTCGCCCGGAACGGCGAGGCCAACCTCGCCGGCCTCAAGCGGGCTCGGCCTCGCCCAGAAGCGACGAGGCCGACCTCGCTAGCCGCCGCAGAGGCCGAGCCAGGCGCACGGCGGGGCCGACCTCGCGGCCCGCCTGGCCGGTCGCCCACCGGCGACCAGCCGAGGTTGAAGGTGATAAAAAAAAGGAAAGGAAAAAGAAAAGAAAAGAAAAGAAAAGAAAAAATTCGAAAAAATAATATTAAAAATTGGATGAAAAGTAAACGGGGTAGATTTGGGACAAAAGTAAAAGTTTGGGGTTTTTTATGAGACAAAAAAAAGTTTGGGATATAATTGGGACAAAGGCTAAAGTTTGGGGTTTTTTAAGGAATTGGGCCAAATTTCAAATCTAAGAAGACATTATTTGGGCTAATATGGAAATTTATCTCCAAAAGGGAAAATTTGTCCAAAAAGTCATAAACCTATTGTACAGCGGCCAATTTAGTCCTAAACCTTTCAATTTTGCCAATTCAGTTCTAAACCTTTTAATTGTACCAATTTAATCCTAAATTTTTTTACAATTTATCAATTTAATTATAAACCTTTTA